TTGGTCATTGCTCTGGACTCTGAGATTTAATTGATAGGTTTTTGATGTTTTTCACATTGTTGCAATAAAAGTTGTATAATTTCTCAAAGTACAATTGAACTTTCTATCCAGTTGTAAAACTGTTATATATTTGATAATATTTCTGCTGTTATATCATTATCTGTTAACCACTCTGAAGAGTGCGTTCATAAAAAGATTTGGGTATCTCTTATCTCTTCATAATTTTTTTCTGCTTTATTAATTAATGTTATTTTCTCAACTGCAGTCTATGTACTGCAAGAAATCACAAAAGCTGGATTTGTTGAACCAACAGCCATACAAGCTCAAGGCTGGCCAATGGCTTTGAAGGGTCGTGATCTCATTGGTATTGCTGAAACTGTATCAGGGAAGACTTGCCTATTTATTGCCTGCAATTGTCCATGTCAACGCACGGCCAATTTTAGTTAAAAACTTAAATTTGTAATTATGATTTACTTTTCTCTACATGCTGCGAGGGAGTAACTCTTGGTTTTTTTTGTTTATATTTTCAGCTCCGGGAGATGGCCCTATTGTATTAGTTTTAGCTCCAACACGTGAACTTGCAGTTCAAATGCAACAAGAGGCTGCTACGTTTGGTGCATCATCAAGGATCAAGAATACATGCATATATGGTGGGGTACCAAAGGGACCACAGGTCCGTGATCTCCATAAAGGTATGTGGTAATATGCTTGGGTTGACTGTTCCTCTGCATTTTCTTGTTCCTGGATTGCTTGTAATCTCTTATACATGGTTTTTCAGATTAATATGCTTTCCATACATGTTTATTTGTAGTTTAAACAATCAGTTATCTTTGTTTTGTAATTACTTAGACTTGGTACTGAAAGTGTTGATATTTTTTGTTGTATCAGGTGTTGAGATCGTTATTGCTACACCAGGGAGGTTAATAGATATGTTGGAATCAAATCACACAAATTTGCGAAGAGTTACTTATTTAGTCTTGGATGAGGCGGATCGGATGTTGGATATGGGGTTTGAGCCTCAGATACGAAAAATTGTTTCTCAGGTATATTTTCTCACCTTCTATTTCATTTTATTGTCTTTTTCTCCCATGCCCTTGACAATTATAATTTCTTAACACATTTACTGAAAAGTATTCTATGAATTATCATTTTATGAATAGGAACAGTATTGTGGGCATAATAGCTTTCTCTTCTCGACTCTCTTATCTATTCTTCTTTATTGACCTTTTTATGCTACTCAAGTATTGCACTTAATAAAAATGATATTCAGATTTTGCTAGTTTTAATCCAAGAGATACGTGAGAGGCTGAGAGCTAACTTTTAGGATAATATGAGGTTAATTTCAGAATTCTAAGCTAAGCTTTTAGAGTTTTGATAGATTTATACTTTTTCCATTCGTCAGTACAATGAATCATTGCATCCACTAGAAGAAAAATAATTTAATAGAGAAAAGTGAGAGGAAGAAAGTGTTAGTGTCTGACTTACTCTGGAATTAGCTAAGAGTATCTGCTTTTGTATAATCTGTAATACTTGTACAAGCAATGAAATGAATTGGCAGTCTCACCCACCACATCACCCCCTCTTTCTCTGATTGTTACTTATGTCCTTTTTGCAGATCCGCCCTGACCGTCAAACTTTGTACTGGAGTGCGGCATGGCCAAAGGAGGTTGAACAGTTGGCTAGGCAGTTTCTTTACAACCCATACAAAGTAAGGTGCCGCATAATTTTTGTATTATTTTCTATTTGGCTTCTCCTGTGAGATGTTGTCTATGGCTATTTGTTTTGAAATTTGACTTCTATTTAATGCTTATTTGATTTCCATGAATCATCACTTTCACTTTCACTTTCTCTAGTTTGTAACTTGAGAATTTTGAGTCTTTCATAATATAATTCATGGTTTCCAGATGTAGTAATCTGATACATGGTATAAGTATATTCTGGGGTCTTCTCTATTCTCTTTGTTGTTTCTTATTTTCTATTATCTACTTAATTTATTGTTCCGTTGGTCATTGTGCAGGTGATAATCGGATCGGCAGATTTAAAAGCTAACCATGCAATTCGCCAACATGTTAACATTGTTTCAGAGAGTCAGAAATATAACAAGTAGAAAGCAGTTTACTTTGTTCTTATATATTTTAATTTTTTTGCCACTAGCATATAGTATTGAGATATATTGAGGCTTTTATTGATCTGTCTTGATGTACTTGATGTTCCAGATTGGTAAATTTGCTCGAGGATATCATGGATGGCGGCAGAATTTTGATTTTCATGGATACCGAGAAAGGTTGTGACCAAATTACTAGGCAACTTCGCATGGATGGTTGGCCTGCTCTCTCAATTCATGGAGATAAAAGTCAGGCAGAAAGGGATTGGGTCCTTTCAGAGTTTAAATCTGGCAAGAGCCCTATAATGAATGCAACAGATGATGCTGCTCGTGGTTTAGGTACACATATTCCTTTATTCTCTGTTTTGTTGCTTTGTTCTTTCACAAGTACACTGCATTTTTCTTTGCAATGGATTAGAATTTGTGCCTAATGTGTCTTCTTTATGAGATTTTCCCGGGTTACTGTTGTTATCATCATTTTCTCTTAAGTTTTCACATATTTTTAGTTATGTATCCAATTTACCAGAAACTTTTTTTGTTAGTGTTCCTTATTCCCATCTTCATATTGTTAGACATTTGATTGCTGTTTCATTCCTGATTTTTTTTCAAAATATGTATTACATGGCAGGCTCATTTGAATTTTCTTTTCCTCTGTGTATTTATATTTATTGAATATATTTTTAAAAGAAAAATCGCTTGAACCTTGCACTTCATTTGCTGCCAGAAGAATGATTTTTTATTTAGTTGTCTGAAACACCACCTATTAAAATTGTTTTTCCTAATTATTGGTGCTTAACTATTACTCAGAGGTCTTATTACCAAATCTGTGCCTTCTTTTTTTATGTTAATAAGGCATTACTTTAGTCATTAATGCTCATAATTATTATTTTGGTTAAACATTTTTGTTCATTACTGTTTAAGCAAAGATAGATTTGGTCGAATATGCATCCATTTATTCGTCTTATAATGAATGTATGTATTCATATGCTCTATCCTTGATTTGCAAAGCATACACATATAGCTTTCATGATCCGGGGCCTGTCTTCTCAACTAATTAATGATCATGATGATAACTTGTGGATTTCCTTAGGTTCCTATGTTGGTGTCCGACATTAATATTTTTGCATGGCTGTATGCTACTCCTTATTCCAATTTTTCTGGCTAGTACTAGTGGTTTTGGTTCCTTCTGCAAATATACAGTGTGGCATGGTAGTTTGGAGTAATCTGACTACCCTAATGGTGCAGAGCATCAGTTAGATGTTTTGAATGGTAACCGGGTGTACATTCTTTCTACCCATCCAGAAAGGGGATTGTCAACCATGTTGGCCTCAGTATCTGGATTACTTCTTAGATGATTTGGTTGTTGGCAGATGTGAAAGATGTGAAATATGTAATCAATTATGACTTCCCGGGATCCCTCGAGGATTATGTCCATCGTATTGGTCGAACAGGGAGGGCAGGGGCAAAAGGAACCGCCTGTACTTTCTTTACAGCTGCAAACGCCAGATTTGCCAAAGAACTTATTGCCATACTTGAGGAAGCTGGACAGAAGGTCAGTCCTGAATTGGCGGCAATGGGATGTGGTGCACCTCCTCCACTGTCAGGTTAGTTTACTGTAGTTCGTTGGAAAATGCATATACATCGACACAATACCGTAAACAGAAAACTCAATGGAATGAAGTTCGAGTTCATTTGGATAGCTTTTGCACATTTAGGTACTTGATTCAAGAAGGGGCTATAGAAAATTCTAGGGACATCATCATTGGATGTGCTACACGATGGTTACACTGTTTCTGCCCTTCAAGAGATTAGTTGTTACATTTTGCATAATTGTTTTATCACGTATTTGATGAATCAGGTCATGGTGGTTTTAGAGATCGAGGTAAGGGATATAGTGGCGGGCGCCCATGGAGCTGATTAACAGAAATATCCCCATTTCCCTGAGGAGTAAAATCATAAATAGTGCGAGTATGGTGTAGTGTTAGTGTAGACATACATTGTTGGACTGTCACTACCAACAGGAAGGACAAGTAGATGGAGAACCGTCACTACGAACAGGAAGGACAAGTAGATGGAGAACTTGTAAATTGACATTTTATGTACTCTCTGATGAAGTCCAATTCAACCCATTAAGCAATGAACTCAACTCATGAATGAGAAGAAAAAAAAAGCTGCATTTTTCCTCCTCATTTCAAAGCTTATGTTACTTTGATCATGTGACCTTGCCGCAATTTCTTGTTTTCTTTAAAATTTTGTGTTCACATATTCAAAATACGAGAATGCAAGTGTAAAAATATATATAAATTTTTCTCTTCTCGGATCTTTATATTTGATATTTATTTTGAATACGCAATGCATTGTATGCGGGCATACGAGTGGATGAAATAGCTTACAAATAAACTTTTTTATTAAATAATATTCATTATAAAATCAAATATGTAGTAGTATTACGTAAACATAAATGGATAGATGTTGATATGGTCATTTTACTTCAAAATGAAAATTTAGATTAGAATTGAAAAAAAAGATTTCTCTAACATTGAATTTAATAATCTATTTTTCCTAGTAAAGCGATTGGACTGCAAAATTTAATGTATTCGTATTATACTGCGGTAAACTCCAACATACTAGAGCAAACACTTATCGTCTGGCATAGATTAGTTGCATAAGTTCATATAAATTGGGTATTTACTTAGGGACCCTTCAAACTAAAATAATTTGATGCCCATATGCATAGTGATCAAGGGAAACGCGGGGAAGCAGAGGACGATCGAAGAACTGAACAAGTGTGGTTTTCTAAATCTCGTTTAAGCGAAGGGCCGAGGTTAGAAACACTTGCACTAATTTCAAAACCCGTGATTCTTTTGTACTTCGAAACACTTTTTCTTTTCCCTTTAGTTTTTTTTTGGTACACATTTTCCCTTTAGTTTTTGAACAAAGAATAAAGTAATCATCTTTTGCGACTGTTGTCTTAGCACCTTTATGGGTGTTTGAAATTTGATTCCTTTTTATTGCAAAAAGACAACGACTCAACTTAAACAATTTCAAGGGCAACAAAAGGAAAGGATATAGGTTTCAACATCATCAGGTGCAGCTGGTCATTTCATAGAATGGGTCTGTCACTGTCTCAGCTTCTAAAGCAATCGTTTGCAAGGCGTTACAAGTTTCTTCGTTCTCTTCTTTGGGATATCAACTTTACTGTTTGAGGTCATTTCATTATTTTGAATTTGTTTAATGCTTGGGAGTTTAATTGTTTTTTTTCATTTGGTTTGAATTTTGATTTTTATGCTAGTTGAGTGTATTACATGATTCTGCTTTTGATGGGTAAATGTTTTTAGGAAGAAGTTTATGGCTAAATTTAAGAGTTTTATACGTTTGAGAATTTTTCGAGAGATGGCATTGGTTGACTATAGTTCAGTTTGAGATTCAATGAAATACACATGCTCTGTCGAATATGGAACTCTTTTATTGTCTTGGTTGCTAATTATTGCCCTTGATTGTTACTCTTCATGCTCAACAACAATGATAAAATTTCAATGAGGGATGTGCAAAATTTTCTAAAGATTGGCAATTTAAATAGAGAAGATAAATCTCAAGCATCCAGATTCGTGTATGTGTATTTTTGCGAGCCTTCTGCTTGACACTAATAGATGATTTAAAATCAGCAAAACATACACAAAAGAAAAGCAGGTGGGGTAGTTTATCATTAGGTTGCATTACAAGAAACGTTGTCATTGTGAAATATCTAAATATGATAGATCCTCTGATTATCATTCTTCTTTGTTTCTTTCAAATAACTTTGGAGAATGCATGGTCTTTTATGACTTCTTTAACTTTTATTTATAGTCAGTTATTTCAACCTTTATTATTTATTTATCCTTTGCTCTTGGACCATCTGTTGCCTCAAGTGTCCAGCAACAAATGCACTGCATGGCACCTGAGTGCCTGTGTTGAAAACTGACACTAGGTTGAGTTTGCTGAAGGTGGTCTACGATTTGCTCCTCCATCATTGGTTTGGGCATGTCTCAGCATTACAAGTATGCCCTTGTTCTTAATTAACTGTTCTGTTTAGATATTTGACATACATTTATCTAGGAACCTGTAGGCAACTTGGCAGATAATCTGTTAGTTTCATTGCCTGAGGATCAGAGTAAGCTTGTTATTTTTATTGAACTATATTTCTGTAGCAGTGTAGCATGTGAGACGGTGTCCTTGCTTTTTGAAAACTTCTTTTTAGGTGTGGACTTGGTGTAGTGTGTTCTGCAGCTGTACTTTGTATTGTGTATACCGTACCATATGCTTTTTTATTATCTTTCTGCCACAATTTTCATAGGCTTTGAGCTCGCAAAGTAGGATTGGTTAAGGTTTTGTTTCTCTGCATGTGAGGAAGGCAAGAGCTTGTATTACGACCTTCAAGAAACCTTCAATTATGTTTAGGACATTAATTGGATATTATACTTTAAGATTGAAGTTTTCCTTCATTGTATATGTAAATTAAGCATATCATGATATTTTCCTATTGCAGGAAGGGAAAGAGTAATAACCTCTCATATGTGTTAAGATTTAGTTTCCCTCCTTTTAGGCATAACTTGGGAATTATAATCTTTAAGTGTTACCCTTACTCGTAATTATCAAAAGGTTCTTTGCTTAGGTACCAAGTAAATTGGGAAGTATAATGTTTGTTGCTAATAGCTGTCACTATAATCAGGTCTGAAGGCCTTACCTAGGTTCAGAAAATATTGTGGTTTTGAGAGTATGCATGTGCTAAATATGAACGGAAACCACATAAGTTGAGATGTCTATATTGAGTCTTAAAGATGTATTGTGGAGTATTGAGACTTGAAGACGTATTGTGGAGTATCACAACTTAAAGATGTATTGTGGTGTTGGTCCAACATATGATAGTAAAATACAGTCTATGTACCTTCAGTGATATGGATGATGTCATATAAGAGACAGAATCTAGATGATATAAATGTTGTTATGTTATGCAGCTGTGCTCTTGTGAGGATTCTAGAGGATACCATTAAGACTTAGATTAGATGTTACGTATGTTACCGGGACTTGGGTGTAAGTGTTGAATAGGAGTATATGTATGACATAGGTATTTTCTATTTTTTCTAAGTTTTTCATGTATTTGGAGAGTCCTTGGAGGATCATATCTTTATACTCATGTTCGAATAGGTGTTAATTTGGGTATTGGACATGGATATTTTAAGCAACATGAGAAGTCAGAGAAAAATATGTTCGTTACTTCAGTAGATTTTGCTATTTTTTTTCTGCATCCTCGAACTTATTCTAAAGCAAAAGCAAACGATGGGGCATATAATCATACTTGATTAAAATGTGAAGATCCACAATAGTTTATCTTCTATCCTTGTAAATTTTAACATAAGTATTTCTGATTAAAGTAGAATCATGATCCAAGAAATTTTAATTGCAAGTCTTCAAAACTGTTATTTTCTATTTATTTCTTTTGAAAAAGGCAAAACAAACAAGTATGAACCAAATGTAGATTTATTTCTTTCGTGGAAAGCTTTTTTTAAATGATCTGTTGCTGCTTTCTTTAAAGGGATTTAAATAAAGGCCTTCAGTGACTTTTAATCAAACTATAAGAATTTTTTAAAGTTATTTCTCTTTCATGTCATTCGTATGGGTCAATAAATTTCTGTAGTGTCTTTGTTGGGTAAAACATGTAAGAGATATGAACGTGTGTTGCATTTGTAAGCACCTCCTGTAATATAAAATCTTGTCAGAACTTCTTTGTAAAGGAATGCCTAGATTATTTTGCTAAGTCATAGTTACTCATTATTAGCTGGTTACTGCTTTATTGAATAAAAATATTGATGCTACCACTCTAATAACATTTATGTGTTTCAAGTTGCTTCATGTTGTTGATGTGAAAGATGAGTGTGTGATAAACAATTTTTTTTCATCCGTGGTCACTAAGCTTTGGAGATTTTTGGAGATGAAACCACAAAGCTATAGTAAACTGAATATGATTTGGGTTGTGTGCAATTTCGACTTCCTATCTTGTTAATATCACAACACAGCTCAGATAACACAGTCATAATCCCTAGTGCTCGGGATTTGTTGCATAGTTTTGTCTATTCTGCTGTGTGTACTGTGGAAGAATGTTTTTGGTGTTCATTTAGCATTTATGCATTTTGGTTATATTTTACCGCATGTAACAAGTAATTTACCACTTCACATGTCTTTGTTGCTTTTCACCGATGGACTTTTCTCGACTTTCTGCTGTAAAGAAATTCCATCTTTTATGGTAGATGTTAACAATCACGCATTTTTGTTAACATCAGCATATTCTGATACTGGTTTTCTGTTGTGTTGAAGAACTTTTGACACATGAAACGTTTTCCCCAAATAGTATATTGATTGGAGTCACCAGACAAATTTTCTGCTCTTCTGCTAGTAAAGTCATCCCATGATCGAAAGTTAGTGCTGTAAATCATGGACCCTTTAGTGCATGACCATGTGATAGAGACTAATTTATCTTTTACTTGTTTAAGTGACCAATCATACTCTTTATACCTTCACCTAAAATAGATATTATGGTAACAAAAAGGAAAATTGTTTCTTTGGGAGTAGAACTCATGAGTTGGCACATCCTGAAACCATGAATAATTCAGAGATATAAACAAGTAATGCATATGAAGTTTAGGTACATTCCTAACCCAAATTGTGTTCATTTGATGGAGTAAAATATTTTTAATAAAATTTCTGGAATTGGGGTTCCATTTTGAGGTTAGTAAAACTTTGCTGTGAATTCTCTTAAATGCATAGTTACAATTTCGAGCACCGAGGATTGTGGAGTGATTATCTCCATGTTCATCCTTGCTTATGATGATGACGACAAGTGAAATGATTCGCAATCTTTATCGTACTCACCCACCAACATAATGAATGCTTGAAAGATGTTGATTGATTTGATATGCACCATCAATGTTTTAGTGATAAGGTGCAAACTATGTTAGTTCATAAGTTAACTAAGGGGAGATTACTGGTGTAGTTGATTAGTATGGTGTTCATATGGCAATTGCTTTCAAGTAAAGTAGCTTGGCAGTCTCTAATCAGTAACGGAAATTACAACTAAATGAAGTGAACAAGGACGGCTTAATGCATTATTTTGGGATATTTTTTCAGTAGTGTGTTTTGATAATACAATTGTTAGTGATTGCTTTTTCTGATAATAGAACTAGCTGCTTTGATAAGCAACGAATTGACTTTTTCTTTTAACTATATATAAGTCGTTTAGTTGAGCTGCACATCTTGATTGCTTTTTGTTTTTGGGTTGTAATAATTAGCGATCATGTTAGGTTCTTTAATCATGGTTGATTTTGATTTTTTCAGTGTTGGTATTCTGACAATAACCAATAATGAATGATAATTATTTAGATGAAGTAGTTGTTGTTAATGAGAAATAAACATTTTATATATTCTCTATATGCTGTTTGGTTAGTTGAGGTCTTGAGGAGCAGCACATCTTTGTTGCTTTTTGATGTCATTCGGTAATAATTTGCATTAATCTTTCGCTTCTTTAATCGTGCTCTTTCGTTCTATTAACAGTTTCATGTATTATATTGTCTGAGAGAATCATATATTTGTTTTGTGGTCCACCCCTCCCAAGTTATGACGCTTGCTCTTTCCTTCTTCCATCCACTGCCCAATTCCCTGGTCCCAACTCAACTTTTTACTACAAGTTTCCTTTTTAAATTGTCAAACTTGTGAATGTTGGAGTTTCTAGGTTGTATCTGACAATGTAAATTTTTTAATGTGTGATTTGTTACATGTCTGATAGGAATGTATGATTGATGAAGCTTACCTTTTCTTGAGAACAAAGGAGAAAAAAGGATACAGACATAACAGATATTGGAGCAAGAAATGCTGGTTGAACTTCCTGTTTCGGCTACAACTGTGGAAATTGCTATAATTTTCTGGCAACGTGGAAATATTGAGCATATGTTACCCGCATTTTGAATTTTCTGGTTTCTATAATTTATTGGTTTGATGACAACAGAAAGAAATCGCATCATATCCTTGAGAAGTACATTGTAGATGCAGCTGGCTCACTGTAAGTTTCACACAAGGGAAATGTTGATGACATTATTGCCCTATTTTGGGAACCTTACTTGAATCTGCAATGAATAATTGGATCTTACTTTCTGAGTTTTGAGACTGCAGGTTTAGATCATCAGCTGGCATCCACCAGCAGGCTTTGAACTTGGAATAGCGGTTAAGGCTGAAGTAGACAAAGAATATAATTGTTTTGCGACTCTTGGACTGAATCATGCATGAAACATACTTGTAAAAGGAGCAGTCATTCATAAACCACCAATTTAAATTTGGAGTAAATTGTGGTTTCTGAACTTTACCCCAAAATTTATGGAGTAAAAAGCCTAGTGACCAGTTGTGAAATTTTCTCAAAAAAAAAAAAAACTGGTTATCAGCCTACCATACCATGTCATTTATTGATGAGATGCGCCATGTAGTGACAGTATCATAACCATATACAAATTATTATTATTCTCTTAATTCGTAATGATGGAAAAATGGAGAGAAAAATAAAAATAGAAAACAGTTAAAGAAGAAAATAAATTAACAAATTTATTCTCGAAATAGTATATAATGTTTGGGGATGTTAAAGGAGATGGGAGAATTAAACAAATAGAAGCCCATAAAGGGAAGATGATTGGGAAAACAATTTGATGCAATGATTATACTGAATAATTCAGTAAGCAAGATACTTAATCATAATTACTTGGGTTGTTTAAACCAATGAGCAGAAGGCAAGCCGCATAGGTTTAATTAGGAAAATGAAGCACTGCAGCAAATCAAGAAATAGGGCCATAGGGGGCCATATTCAGTCAAATGAAGATTTTCTCCTCAATAAAATTATACAGTCAAACATAAAATGGTTTTTTTATTTTATTCCTTTCTGCAAAGTGAAATGACAATTGTGCACCTGCTGAAGCTAATGTGTTTGATGCTACTATTTTGACCACCCATCCCTCTTTTGATTGAGAAAAAGGTTTTATTTATTAGATTTGAGAATACCTTTTTAGTAAATTAATAAAGGGAAGGAGCCACTGCCACATGCCCATACAAAAATTAAATAAGAAAGCGAAGGGCATGAAAGTAACAAGAGATGTAGGCCTAGGGCCTTGGCGTATATATAGAAAGAAGAAAACAAAAGGCGAGACACAGAGAAGGAAAACCAACACAAATACTCATTGAATCTATCTCTCATCAAAGCACCAGCCTGCCCTGCGCCTCTCATCAAAGCACCAGCCTGCCCTGCGCCTCTCATCGCTCAATCATCCACTCCTTTCGGTGCCTACTTCATCCTCCCAATTTCAATTTATCAAATAAATAATCTTTTATTAATTAATTGATTGTCAAAATCAGATATTATTAATTCTGATAACAAAGATTTATCTACCCACATTAAATTAACTTTTATGGAGAATTAACTCATTATTGTACAGCTAAAATTAAAAGTTGAATATGACATGTCTTGGGGTCACAATCATTTCGGGTGATGCTACTCATCATTGCAACCAAACTCTCCCAAATGGGCGCCATTTTGTAAAGAAAGAAAGAATAAAGTTAATTCATGAATATACTATTGAATCTCTAACCTCTTTTCTCTTTTAATTTCCTTTTTCTTGGGCAATATCCCTCCACTTTATTTATTTCGCATAAGTGTTTATTTATTTATTTATGGAATTGTATCTCTAATTGAATCAGAAGGCTCTGATTTAAAATATCATTTATAAAATCTGATATATTCTAATAAATCCATTGAATTGAATAAGCAGTAAGACCTTGGCATAGATTCGGAGCACCTTGCAAAAACCGTTCCCTCTTCTTAACTATCATCCACCGTATGAATAGAAGTGATATATAATAATGTAAATTCCTATCCTACGTCACAATTCCGTGCGTTCTCTTTTTGTACTTCAATTATAAATATACACATTTTTTCCTTGGTTTATTAAATGATGAGAAATGTAATGATGTGTCGACGTTTCATTAAAACCTAAACTTGGAATAATTAAGCATTTAGAAGTCAATATTACCTTTTTAACTCATATAATTTATTACCTTACCCTATGTTCATTGTCAACATCATGTTTTTAACTGCTTTAACAAAGCATCAAACACGGAAACATTATCTCTAAAACCAACAAATCTAAATGCTGTGTATTATTGCTTCTATCAAAACATGATGTATTATTACATCTTACTCGGACGAAGTTATTAAAGATTAGGATGAGTGCATCAACCTCAGTGATGTTGACATGTTACTATAAGATAATGTTCCACCATCGTTGAATTTGTTAAAAAAGTATCATATGAGCATTTATGTTAACTTTTTAACGACAGATGACTAAAATGTAACATTATGTATGATTTAAAAAAATTGAATGACTACAACAAAACAAAAATAATAATTGAGATATTAAACATATAGTTTATTTAATTTTTTATTATCAATCTAAAAAATATTTCTATATCCATCCGTATTTCTCAATATAATATAGAACATTTGCCTATGGAATTATATCCATGCATATCATCTCCCATAGTCCCACTGGTTTTAATATTAATTTCTCGGATTCATAGTTCCAATACTCTTTCTCATTCACTCGCTTTCTTTTGCATTTTTTTATGTAAACGCGTGCATTGCATATCATACTTCATCAAAACATAAGGAAAGAATAAAGAGAATTTTTCACTATGAGTAAGGGTATTTAAGAAGCGAGAGAGAGAGAGAGAGGGCAAGCGTGCGTGTGGGAAGGAAAGTAAGGAGAAAAGAAAAAGAAAGAAAGAATCAGCAATCATGGAGATGATGAGTTCATTGATGTGGATTATTGTGTATATGACAACACTTGTGTTTTCCATCATATTTCTCCGTGCCAAAACCAAATGTATGATATCCAAAACCTCATGCCAGCTTCCTCAAGGAACCCTCGGCTGGCCTTTCCTCGGCGAAACCATCGACTTCATTTCTTGTGCTTACTCCGACCGCCCCGAGAGCTTCATGGACCGCCGCCGCCGCATGTAAACAGATTAGGGTTTTTTGTTTTCATTCATTATGAAGATACTGCTCAAGTTTTATATTATGAAGATGAGACACTTGTGATTTGTGTTCTTGTTTTTGTAGGTATGGGAAAGTGTTCAAGTCACACATATTTGGGACCCCGACTATAGTTTCGACCGATGCAGAAGTGAGTCGGTTCGTTCTACAAAGTGATGCAAAGGCTTTCGTGCCGTTCTATCCAAAATCATTGACCGAGTTGATGGGGAAATCCTCCATTCTTCTGATCAATGGGAGCTTACAAAGGAAAATCCATGGTCTCATAGGATCTTTCTTCAAGTCTCCACATCTCAAACATCAGATCACTCGAGACATGCAAAGTTACGTCCAGCAAGCGATGGATAAATGGAGAGATGATCAACCCATTTTCATACAAGATGAAACCAAAACTGTTGGTGCCTTTTAGTTCCTCTCTTTTAGTGAATTATTCAGCAAAAATATTCCTTTTTTTCATTGAAGTTTGTTCTCTGCCATTTGTTTCCCTTCAAAGTTGTTTAGGATAACATTTTTTTCTTGATAAGAGTTCCTACACAGACACAGCAAAAAACAAATATCCCATATTTCTTATATCTATATCTGGCTTCTTCTTAATTTCATATGCAGCAGACACAGACAAAACTAAAACACGTGCGCACAAACACTTCCATTTCACTCTTAATATATCGGATTCTTTCTTTCGTGAGAGGAATCATTGAAGATTGAATATTTTGTTTCTGCCGGAAGGTGAAAGCGACCCAGTTTAAGATCGTGGGGTTCACAATAATTTTGCATGAATCATATTGTATGGGAAATTTGCTTCATAATGATTGTCTTTTTTACATGTAGCCGATCCTTTTGAAAAGTTAAAATGAAAATACCCTTTTTTTTCTCGTCTCCAGATTGCTTTTCAAGTACTAGTCAAGGCATTGATTAGCTTGAACCCAGGTGAAGAAATGGAAGTTCTCAAGAAACAGTTCCAAGAATTCATCTCAGGCCTTATGTCCTTACCTGTAAAAGTACCTGGAACTCAACTTTATCGATCTTTGCAGGCAAGTTACATTATTATATACAAAAATGCTTATGGTGGGGACTGGTGTGTGTAAAAAAAGTTCAAAACGGCGTTGAAATTCTGTCTATTTCAGGCAAAGAAGAGAATGTTTAAGATTGTGCACAAAATCATCCAATCTAGAAGGAACTCAAGCACGAGTTCAATGGCTCCACGAGATGTAGTCGATGTTTTGCTCAAGGACGCCAGTGAACTGTTAACAGATGATCTGATAGCCGGTAACATGATCGATATGATGATCCCCGGCGAAGATTCTGTACCTGTTTTAATGACTCTTGCAATCAAATACCTCTCGGATTGTCCGGCTGCTTTACATCAATTGACGGTACGTGATTTTACAATTGATGGCACGTGATTTTACTTTCACAAACCGAATTAAATCAAGTTTTCATGACAGGTATCAAAGACCAAACTTTATTTTATATTAATATCAACGACAGATATCGTTATCATTTCTTTTCCTTTGAGAAAGAACGAATGGCAATTTACCATTTCTTCGACACATGGACATGTAATGTTGATTTGATTGACTTGGCGTCAACAAATTACTATCTTAAATATTGAAGAAAGATTCCATACTAGTAATTTTCTTAGAGGTACAGTAAGTTTTAAGATTTCCCCCCCCCCCCACTAATTTCAACTTTCTTTTTCATAGTGATTTGCTTGGCCACTAGCTAATTGTTTGACTATCTAGGCACAACTGGCAGGCTTTAATATTAGGGTTTTGTCCACACTAGGCATATAGTTTCTTTATGAAAGCAACATGCCCTTTCTAAGTAATCGATTTTACTTAAGACTCGGTTACTATTATTTTTAACTGAAAAATTATTTAAATTTTTATATATTTTCATAAAATATGTACGTTCATTATAAATTTATTTGTTTTTATATTTTATTATAAATTAAATTGATGTAATATATATATTATACTGTTGAAAAAATTAATGTCTATTTTTTAACTACCAATATCATGTCTAAAGAGATTACTTATGTTATAAAATATATATTTTTACAACAATTTTAAACAACTAAATTTTAAATAAAATAATACAAACACTTTTCTAAAATGCTTTTTTGTCGTACTTTTTAAAAGTAATGTTAAACTAATCCTTACATGATTCCAACCAGAAGGTCTTGAATTAATACAATCCACCCCAAGATCTAGAAAATAATAACTTTTGTATTGAATTTAGTTTTGTAATTAATTATAATTGTTAACATATATGGAGTAATTATAATTTAAGTTATTGTTATGAACATTTCTTAGGAGGAGAACTTGAAGTTGAAAAGGCTCAAAGCTCAAAATGGGGAGGCATTGATTTGGAGCGATTACTTATCATTATCTTTTACTCAAAGTGTAAGCAATTAAAGCAATGAATGAAGGTTATACGTAGGTTTTAATAAACAATGAATCTAGATTAATTGTATTTGTTTTAAGCAGGTTATCACAGAGACTTTAAGGATGGGAAACATAATAATAGGGGTGATGAGAAAGGCCATGAAAGACATGGAGATAAAAGGGTATCTGATCCCAAAAGGATGGTGCTTTTTTGCCTATTTTAGATCAGTCCATCTCGATGAAAATCACTACGATTGGCCTTACCAGTTTAATCCATGGAGATGGCAAGTAAGATAAATCAATGGACACACCTTATAATAATTATTCTCCTTTTCTTTTTGTTTATATGATCTGATTCTGATTGAATTTTTTTAATGTTATATCTATTTTCATGAATAATTCGAATAATTTTTAATGTTCTAACCCTAATGTTTTGCTTTTCTAGTATTCGACTAATAGTAATATGGGGACTGATCCCCGTGTGCAGGAGAAAGACATAATAAGCAGTTATAACTTTACTCCATTTGGCGGTGGACAAAGGCTGTGCCCTGGACTTGATTTGGCCAGGCTTGAAGCTTCCATTTTCCTACATCATTTTGTCACCAATTTCAGGTATAACAATTAGTCTCCATTTTCGTATTTCTTTGGTCAAAAATGCATCGAGCACATAAAATTGTTATTAATAAAATCAGCTCATAATACAAGAAAGATGCTACATGTAATAGACATGCATTTTAACACCTTAGTCGATAGTAGCTAGGGTAGGCCTTCCTTTTCATAGTAAGATGTGAATAATTTAACACGGGTAGGATCATGGTCTCATTACCCTGCTGTATTTAATTCGAATCTTAATTTATAATCCGAATTTAACTAAAAACGTGCAGATGAGTGGCGGAAGAAGACACCATAATCAACTTTCCAACAGTAAGAATGAAGAAGAGGATGCCAATTTGGATTAAACCAAGGGTAGATTAGACCCACCTATCCTCGTTAACCTCATCATCTGCTTTTGGCTTCAGAATAATTAAAAACATAATACAAAATTTTTTTTAAAGCAAAACCTAATCAAAAAAGGCTACAGGGCACACGTGTGGGGAGGCAGCTTTTTGACAAAGTCCATGTACGTTTTTGTCTTCTTTTTACAGAGCAATATTGCAGATTTCTAGACTTTTGGTAATTACTAGTCCTAGCCCATGTAATTGTACATTCCAAAAAAAAAACTGGGAACCCCCTTTCATTTTGATTTAATTCCCTAATTATTCCTCTTGTTTTTTTCCCTTTATTGTCCCATATAATTTTAATTTCATTTACAAATACATGATTTTCACAATTTATATTATAGTTGTTATTTTTGTAATCTGATAAAATATTAACGATATGATTGTAATTTAAAAATATTAAAAATAAAAATTTGATGTAATCTTTAATGTCAATCACGTGAATTAAATCGACAAAAGTAACATCATTATCTTTTTAAAAATTGATAAAAGTAAAATGGGTAATATTATTGATCCCAAATTATAAGGAAACGAAGTGAGATTCACATACAAAGAGAATCCAATGCTTAGCTAGGCATCAAGCCGTCCATCGTAGTTTTTTTCGAAAGGAGGCAATATAGGTTTATATATTATCAGTACTGGTTAATGATACTCTTTATCCTTATTCTTTTATCTCAATTTTTATTTTAAATTATATTAAATCAATTGACGGTAAATTTAACGAATTTTCAATAATTTTAATAATTTTTCACAATTTTTCACATTTTTATAGTTTTTATTTTTATTTTTTTGATAATTTAAATATTTTTATGTTTAGCGTTTTAAATTTTTGTTTAAACTTTTATTTTTGTGTGTGTAAAATGACAAAATAACTAACATGAACATTGAAAAAAAGAAAACGGTTGTAATCAACTTAATGAGTTTGTTACTTTTCTTTCGTTAGTTTATTCAATCTGAAAATAAAATTTTGAAGATAAAAAATATGAAAAGAAAGGTTTAAAAATTAAAATGATCATAATTAAAGCTATTATCGCACAATCAATTAAATCATATGGAGTTTGTAGCTGCTTAATCATCAGTTGATATTCTTGTGTGAATGATTGCGCCCATGGGGATGTTGTGTGGCAGCCCCACCAATGATCGGCGGTGGATTTACAAATGCAATGGCATCAGAGTAGCTAGGGGTCTTACCGAGCAAATCGATTGCGAGTTGGACAATGTTTGACTCTTGTTCGTTAAAAAAAATTGTTGCTCGACTCAATTCTTTACTTGTTAAGCTTATTAAATTTTTGTTCGACTCGTACTCGTTAAAAAAACTTGTTGCTCGACTCATTGCTCGTTAAGCTCGATGCTCATTATGCTCACCGAAATTTTTACCTTATTTTCTTAATTATAAGTAAAATCTACTAATACTATACATAGCTTATTATAAACATAAATTAATAAATTTAACCAAAAATATTATCAAAAGAATATATGAAACAATTTCAAAGTCTAAACTCCAAAGTAACAATCCACAAATACATTAAAATAATAAATATGGTTTGATTTTCGAGTGTAGTAAAATACTAATTAATAATTTAGTATTTTTATTGTTTATTAGAAAATTAATAGATGAGTAATTTTCAGATCTTTTTTATTATATATTAGTAAATTAATATTTTTTGAATGAAATAATTTTTTAAGATAACTACCGAAAAAATTATATGAACAAATTATATAAAAAAATTAAAGAGTTGCTCGCGAACTTATTAAGCCGAGTTGGACTTTGCTTGAATCAACTCATTAAGGTCTCGAGTCGAGCTCAAGTTCGAATCATCCCGAGTCAAATTTTTATCGAGATTTGACCGAGTTGAGTTCGGGCTGCGAAACCCATTAAGCACCCATAACAACAGCCCACTTCCAACTGTGTTGGACTGAGAACCTACCTTTATTAAAGTGGATTTCCTCTTTTAACTAGGATTTGGGAAAAGGAGCATATATATATATATATATATATATATATATATATATATATATATATATATATGACTATTAAATATAAATGTGTTGGATGTTACAAAAATATAATTTATCTTATTTTACATTTTTACGAATATTTAAAAAAAATAGTATTTGTATTAATGTATGTTTGTCGATCTTGAAAAAATTGAGAGATTTTAAAAAGACATGTAAATATTCGAATGTGAAATTATAAAATTTTAGAGACAAAAATAAATTATAAATAGAAAAATACTTAAATTATATGAGAAATTAAAATTTTCAGGAAACAATTGACCCCCAACCCTTAGTCCATCCCGATTTTAGATTGTGGCTCAGTCCATCCTTAATTTAAGTTAGATTGTAGGTTGACGAAGGTGTTCATTGGAAGCATAATAGTTTTTTTTGGATAATTAGTCATTGTATTCATTCAAGAAAGCAGCAAGCTGCTACAAAATAACAAAACCAGCTATACAAGACCCCAATCAGTACATATTTGACTATTTACAGTATCCAACCTGTTTATATTATATCTATACAATTTAATTCTGACTGCCTCTTTGATAGCATTTACAATGGCAACATACGGGCGAGATAAACCTCTAAAAATTCTTCGATTACGCTCCTCCCAAATGAAGTAAATGTACCCTGTCCATGCTAGTTTGAGAATATGAACTAGCAGAGACTTTCCTTTTAAGCTTCTATTCAACCAGCACAACCGGTCATCCCAGCTCAAGCTCTGCTGGTGCAATCCACAACTTAGCAAGATAGCATCCCAAACTCTCCCCGAATAAACACAATCAGAGAAGAGATGACTTCTCGATTCCAACTCAGCCCCACATAACCCACATCGAGTATCAGTCACCACTGCAAAACGAGCTAATCTCTCCTTACTTGGTAACTTGTCGGTAATAGCCATCCAAGCAATCAAAGAACACCTAGGTATACGCACAGGGAACCATATAAGATAATGCCAAACCACTTTGTCATCCCTCTATCTGATTTTATCCCAAATCTAACCACCCCTAACTTGAGACCAATTAGTGGTAGCAGTAAACAAACAACCAGTCTGATCTCTCATTTTGATAAGTTTCCTAAGAGTCCAGCTGGAATGAGGCTTAGATGTAACATTCCAGTAATCATCTTGCTTAAAACAGTAAGCCTTAATCCAGGCTATCCACAGAGAGCCTTGACCAGCCAATAAAATTTTAATAAGCATCAGACAACAAGTTTTGTTCCAACCAGCCAAGCTTCTAAGTTCCAAACCTCCCTCTGATTTAGGTGAGCAGATCTGACTCCAGCTTACTCTGGCACCTCGAGCAGGGGAGTCATTACCCTTCCAAAAGAACCTCATACACAACCTTTCAATGTCCAAGATAACTCCCTTATGCAGAATAAGCTGTCTGCTCCAGTGGGAGAAAATGCTAAACAGAACAGCTTTGATGAGCTGTAACCTCCCTCCATAGCTCAGTTTCCTGCTAGACCACTGCCTCAATTTGCCCTTGATATTATCCAATAATGCTTTACAATTAGTCCCAGAAAGTTTCCAAGTCACCAAAGGCACCCCCGAATACCGAACAGGGAGTTTTCAAACCCTGAAGCCTGTTGCATTTCTGATTTATTCCACTTCTCCCCCAGAAATTCCACAAGTATAGATTTCAGTCTTCATGACATTTAACTTAAGACCAGACAAATCATAGAATTTATCCAGGATGGTAATCACCCCCAACAATGAGTCCAATGATCCATGACAGAACAACATCAAGTCATCAGCAAAACACAAATGTGTAAGAGAGATCCTCTTACACCTTGGATGGAATCTGAATATTCCATTCATGGCAGCAACATCAAGCATCTTAGAGAGAAAATTCATTACAAACACAAATAGGTAAGGGGATAATGGGTCCCCTTGCCTATCACCCCTTGCACCTCTAAAGTAACCTACTAAGCTGCCATTTAAAGCTATTGAATACCTGGGAGTTGTCACACATGTACTAATCCATCTACAAAATTTTTTAGTAAGTCCCATAGCATCAAGAATGTTCAATAGGAAATCCCAACTGATTGAATCAAAAGCTTTCTGTAAATCCACTTTGATTGCACCCTTGGGGAGAGATTCTTTCTTGCATACCCCCTAACTATTTCTTTTGCTAGCAATGTGTTATCAATGATGCTTCTGCCCTTGACAAAAGCAGATTGACTAGCAGAAATCATACCAGGGAAAAACTGGGCAAGCCTAGTAACTAGGATTCTAGTGATTGTTTTATACACAACATAGCAGCAAGATATAGGCCTAAATTCCTTGGCCATGCTAGAGTTCAAAGACTTAGGTACTAAGACGATAGTAGTAGCATTAAATGCTGGAAGAAGATAAGAAGACTGAAAAAAGTACCTCACTGCATTGAGGAAGTCTCTATTAACAATCTCCCAAGCTGCCTTGAAAACCCAGGAGGTGTAGTCATCTGGGCCTGGGCTCTTATCCCTCCCCTGCCTGAACAAAGCCTCCTTGATTTCATTGTCTGAAATCTCACCTTCTAGCATACTCTCAGCACCAGCAGGCAAAGAATAACCCAATACATCTTTTAACCATTCAGGGTTGTTACTCTTAACCAAGGGATCAACAGTCCCTATAAGCTTACTGTAAAAATCCACCAGCTCAGCAACCATGTCATCAAATTTCTCTAGCAAATGCCCATTCTCATTCTTAAGAACTCTAATAGTGTTCTTCTTATTTTGAGACTCAACTTTTTGGTGAAAAAACTTAGTTCTTAAGTCACCTTCATGTAGCCAGTGAACCTTGGCTCTCTGTCTATAGAAATCCAGTTCATCCATTTCCAAGTCAACTAGAGCAGCTTGTATTTCCTTCTCCTCCTCCATCCCAGTCTGATTAGCAGCAGCAAGGTTAGCAAGCTGAATATGTTCTAGCTCAGCTCTTTTAGCAGCTACTCTTGACGAAATATCATAAAATTGAGTCCTATTCAAATCCTTCAAAATAGGCTTCAATCTCTTTAATTTGCAAAACAACACCTACATAGCATTACCATCACAGTGTTGTAACCAAGAAGCTTTAACACTGCTCAAAAAATTCTCACTTGTAGTCCAGCAGTTGAAAAACTTAAAGGGCTTCGGTTTATGAATCTGAGCCTCTTTTTGAGTCCAAATAAGCCCCAAACAATGATCAAATACTCCAGGAGCCTTGTACTCAGCAAAAGAAATTGGAAAATACAGCATCCACTGAGGATTAATAAGGATCCTGTCTAATTGGAAGCATAATAGTTGTATCTTACTAAGTTGTAGTTTTTAACGTTGGAAGCATAATATGGCTGAAAATTTCCCTTCGGGTGAAACAAGTGTTAAAGTTTACATTTTTTTTCATTAATGTCATGCTTTCACTCTTAAAATGGAGGTAATATGTATCTATTTAACATCAGAAGTGAAAGAATGAACTTTTTATATATTGTTGAGTTTGGGACTTGAAATGTGGCATTTGAATCAGATAAGGCAGCTGGTTAATGGAATTTATGTGTGGCCATGAAGGAATTGCGGTTCAAATCAACATTTTCTGGTATCATCCAGAATGGATAGCACGTCTCAGGAATAAGGATTCCTTTGTGAACCCTTCACTGATTTCTTGTTCTTTTTTGGTTACCAATGTTCAAAATTTGAATTTAAAAAAAATCAGTATTGCAGTACACTGAAATTTATGACAAAGCAGAAGTATCTCTCGGAGAGATCACTTTCAAATTTTATAAGAACAGAAACTTTGAATGTTTCATTCATTTTCAGACCAGAAGAAATAACATTATTATAGATGCAACATCAGGACAATAAACATGCTTGTCTTTTGCATACATATTATATATAAGAGGGGGGAAAATGACTTGACCCTACTGACAGCATCCAAAATCCTAAAGGAGAAAAAAGAAAGCAGAAATTTAATTGCCTTACTTCTTGATGGCCTGTTTTCTGCAACTTTCAGGCTTGTCATCATGACCCAAAAATGTAATGCCAGGGAAAGTTTAATGTTTTGAAAAATGTCTTTTCAAAAGTTTGAAACTTTACAGGTAAGACAATGACATTTCACTGTGTGGTTGTTTGTTTCTTAATGCAAGACAAAAGCTCAGACCATTTCTTGTCAGCTAAAACAGCTTCTCGATTAACAAAAATCAGTAGGGGAAAAGCCACTGTCTTTGCCCCATAAAAGGTCAAAGACAATGATTTTTTTTTTTTGCCTTCCGTCACCAATTAAGATTCAGATCAACTGTTTTCCCATGCAATGCAACTATCAAACAAAATCTCATATCAACAGACATGTGAAAGAGAGAGAGAGAAGGAAGAAAACAAACAACCACATTTCTCAACTCTGCCTCATTGATTTAATTAGAAAGCGTATAACATCTCACCATGAAAATCAGCATTTCCAAAAAGAATTACAGAAACCCTATTACCCCTAGCTTCCAATACTACTACTACTATACAAAATGATACATACATATATATATAGATAGATAGATGAGCGCACCATGCGTGCAAGGAACACAGGAGAGTGAGCTTTTTACAAATGATCTGCAGATGAAGTCCTCCTGGTTCCAGACCTTAGCCCGTCAAGGGCGAGCTTCCCACTGAAATCTTCTAATGCCTCATTTACCAGGGATCCACTGTAATATTGTTGTTGGTCTGCACATGTCCGGCCACTCTGGTTGCCAATGTCATATCCTGGAGATGAATAATTTGCGTCGATAAGCACGTCACCTTCCAATATACGGAGCACCTGGAAACTTAAAAAGTTAGAGCTAAACCTGTTTATTTGAATAACATTATTCAATATAACTTTAAAAGTAAAACAATGTTATGATAAAGTAAAAATGCGTTGAGATCCCACTGATATTAAGGCTACAGAGACCTACGTAAAAATAACAATAAAAAGAGTCCAATTGATATGCATGGCAAAACAAATTAAATTCCTCAGTACAACTTTTCTCATTACCTGTGACATGCGAGGCCTAGAATGAGGATCCCGTCTTATGCATAATGATGCGGCATGAAGCATGCAATAGACCTCATGCTCGGAGTAGCGATCCTCCAATCCTGGATCCACCAGTTCATCTATAGCATATTCTTCCAGAAGTGGACGGGCCTATCCAATATCACAAAATAAGAGATAAGCAAAAATAAACCAACGAATCCACACAGCTGAGAGGACATTAAAACGGCCAGAAAGAATTGTCTTGGTCCTTCATACATATGGCAGATGTTAATGAGACGTCTTTCATAAATTGTTCTTAAAGTTACACAGGAGAAAAGATGTAGAAGCAGAGTTTAAAACTTTACCCATTCAGTTAGACATTGCTGGCCTTTTGGCCTATTAAGGTCCACAGCTTTCCGTCCAGTAACGAGTTCAACTAACACCACTCCAAAGGAATAAACATCGGCTTTTTCGGTTATTTGGCCAGTTTCAGCATACTCTGGTGCCAGATACCTATGCCACACCATAATCCATTAGTAATTTCTTTATTTGCATAAGTTAGGTAAATTGTGAAAAACAAAGACGTCATTTTAATTTACCCGAATGTTCCAATCACTCTTGTTTCGACTCCAGCATCACCATCAGGCTGCCATCTGGCAAGGCCAAAATCACCAACCTAGCAAAACAAATCTGAATCAATACTTGCATGTACAACCATATTGAAAGTTTAATGCCAATGCACCAAAACCGTCTTAAAATTTGAACACCAAAACACATTGTTTTAATAGTTTCTTTTGGTGCGGTTATAATGTCTTACTAACACCAATGAAAGGAAAGGATTCTCTCCCTAATGTCAACGCTAGAAATTTACACATGAAGAAGAGTTAAAAGTTAGCCTACCAAAGGTTCAAAATCATGGGTAATGAGAATGTTGTTCGGCCGCATATCACGGTGGACAATGCAGCCAACTCTGCATTCTTCATGAAGGTATCTCAGACCTCTAGCAGCACCTACAGCAATCTTTTGCCGCGCAGACCATTCTAATGGTTCCCGATGGTACCCTGGAACACGTCAAATTTGTGGTACATTCAAAACAATGGTTGCTAGATAGAAATAAGCATATTCAAGAATAATAAATATTTTTATCTAAAAAATTAGTATGATCATGTTAAATCTACAGTAACAGCTCCAACTAAGTCCACTATCTATGGTCCTCTTGCACTTCTTTCCCTTTACCATCTGTGTTAGGGGGAAGTCAGGGTAGAGGGAACAACTTTTTTCCAGTTCGATCATCAAATCCAAATAATTAGGAAAATAAATTGTCAATAAAAAAGTGATATCAAGCCTCTATGTCTCATAGGTTTATAGCCGTCTTTAGGGGCCCATAGATGATGACTATATCAGCCACAGGTGCACACCAAAAATCATACATACATAGTGCAGTGAGTTAAAGATCAGTGAAATACCATATAGATGAGAATCTAGAGATCCATTACATATGTATTCATAAACCAACAGACGCCTTCTATCCTCAATGCAGAATCCGATCAGCATAACAACATTCCTGTGTTGAGCACAGCTGAGGACTTCCACTTCCGAGCAAAATTCATGATCTCCTTGAGAACTAGCCAATTTGTGTTGCTTGACTGCAATTGCTTGTCCATCTGAGAGTAGTCCTCTATAAACGGATCCAAACCCGCCCTCAGCCAAGAAATTAGCTTGAGAAAATCCACCAGTTGCAAGCTCCAATTCAGCATAGGTAAACCACCTTGGCGGTTTTCCAAATACAGGTGCCTTATGCTGACATATTGAACACAACGGAGGAGGGCCAGGAGGGGGGTTTCTCGACAATGCAACTGCTTCTCTCACGTTTCCACTAAATTCAATATCACTCCTAAAGCTTGATACTCCAATTCCAGCTTCTCTATCAAGTTTCGAAAAATTCTCCAGTAAGGCTTTTGTTGTTGAAGCTTGAGCCCTGACATTAGCTCGATCAGAAGGTTCTTCGAGGTATTGTGAGGACTGATGATGAGAAGCAAGATATTCTGTTATCCATGGTTGATACCTTAAAATCGCTGAAGATAAGGATAAATTTTCACTCTCTGTGTCTGAAATGGATTCATCAAGATCCTGGTTTTCCTTGATGACTAGTGATTGCTCTTTCTTCGAGTCTGCATTCCTTTCTGAGGAGCAAAAAGGTGAAGTGCCTGGATCAGAGCTAGAAACTGAAGAAGTTCCTGCTTCAGTAGCAGTGAATGTCGTCCCAAGCTCTGGACTGCTAGTTGGAGTGACAACGGGCCCTATATCGGATGATCCATTTTTGTTTTCGGGATGCTTTTCAGATGTTTCATCTGTCTCAGGATTTAATTGACAAGCTTCAGCTTCCTTCTCAGATGGCCCAACCAAATTTAAACGGAGCACTTTCGCCTGAGAACGCTTCATAATCACTATGTTGCATTGCAACTCCTCCATACAGCGCTTTTCCTCGTGTTTGAGCTGCCTGAAAAATGAATAAACAAATGGGGATATTACAACCATGCGTATATATATAACTTTTAGAATAGAACACAAAAAGAAAGGAAAGGAAGAAGAAACAAAGCAAACAGGATGTTACTTGTCCAATACAACCCAACTAGCTTTAGCTTGTTTTGCTTCCGCAGCTACAGCTCCACACGGTGATCCAGATACAATTTTTATCTTGACATTAATCTGTGCAATGAAGTTCGGAAACAAATCATTAGCAGGCAATGACATGTACATAAAACAATAATATAATCAAGCACCAGATCCAGGTATTTACCTTGTTGGGATCATAAACATCGTGGAGCTGGAGGATCATTTGGGAGAAGGAATCACTGATACCAGAATTTTGCTCCGAACTTGATCCGGTTTGGGACTTGCGGCTAATGCTGGCACAGTCACCAGAAAATCTTGGAAAACCCCATTTTCTACCTGGAGGGATTGTGGCATTTAATCATCGGGCAGGAATTATTGTTGAAACTTAAGTTAGAGTATTTGTAAAGAGTTAACACCATAATCATTTCTAACTGTGACTCTTCTAAGCCTCAAACACTTCCTATTCCAGAAAGAACTTAACACACTCAAGAAAACTAAATAAAATATCAGTTACGTTAGAAATTGCCAAACTGGAATGCAAAATCTGGAAGATAATCCATAGTCATATACTGTATTCATAAATCATTCATGTAATCAAATTTCTAAAAGCTCAAAAGAAAGAGAAAAAATCCATATTACCATCCGCAGGAGTTCAATCCTAAAATGTCATAGGTAGACGCAAAAGCAATAACAGAACAAGAACAACCTGAACAATGTGAAGGAACAACAAGCAGCGTAATGCAGTCTCCAGGTTGAACAACATGAGACAATGCCCACACCAGAGCAGTCTTGGGAATTTCTTTCGATGCCTTAACAGCAACCACAACTTTCTTGGCCATGCCCAACCCAGTTCTCTCTTGCTTTCCCTTCTGTTCTCGACTCATTTTCCACAAATAATTCCGATTGAATTTCCTCACTCCACAACGGATTCAACTCTTAAAAAACTATCTTAATAACAACTACCATTGTAGATGCCCCAAAAAACAGTCTTAAAAGGAACTAACAAAACAAAAGAATTGCATTATTGATCTGCCCCCACCATATTGGATTCAGTGTACATGTGCCACCAAAATGGCTAACTATTCCATTCCAGATTATCTGCTGAGAAACAGAGAGAGACTCTTCTTGTTAATTGATAGTATGATTGCAAATTGGATGAAGATCGGGCTACCTTTTCGTCACTATAACTCGAAAGTTAAGTCCTTTGGCTTAAATTAGAGGCACGAATTGAGAATCAAACTACTGTTTGACATGAAACTGCAAAACGACAGCTACCCCCAAAAGGTGAATCAATACAAATGAACCTGCTTTCCCCTTTCTTTTCTGAATGGGGTTCAAATCGTGATGTCAACACAGTGAAAGTAACAGCTACAAAACAAGAAAAGGTAGGCCGAGTATTTCTGGATCCGAGAATCAGTTTCCCTCCTTTTCTTCTTGTTCAGTTCTTCATAGAAACGGAACAAAATTTTCTGCACATTGATTCTCCTGTGTAGGCTTCCATACAAAGAAGATCAAATCACAATGAATGACAGAAGAAAAGCATGCTTTGTAAGGCAGCAGCTTTTTTGTAGAAGGATTTGACTCTTGAAATGTTCACAGCTAGCAAAAAGCCTCAGCTGTAAATAGAAAAAACGCAGCACCCTTTTCAAGCCTCGAATTCAAGCAACAAGCCTAGTTCAAATCCTGCAAAATCAGTGCATAATAAAATTGAGATTAGTACGTCAAAACTTAAACAGGTATTAGAAAATAAAGGAGTAAATATCAGTGTCATGCTTGTTTAGCCTGAAAATGCAGGAAAACGAAAAAGAACTGCCTAACGAAACAATTTCTTTTTCTATTTTCTTTTGCATAAAACCAAACCTATAAGGACAATCCATCAAAACAATAATTCCCTCCAAAATACAACTGAAACTCGTCTTTTAGACCAAAAAGGATAATGAATATCTCCCAAGCCCCCAACCTTCTCCATTTTAATAATCAAGGCTCGTAAATCTTCTGAAAAGCAGAAAAGCAAACAAGACAGCATACGTAGAAACATTTTAAAATAGGATAAACAAAATCAATAAACACCAGCTACCTCTTTAACTAACAATCAAACCTACATAAAATTGTTTTTTAAGCAAAACCCAGGCACCCTTTGACACAAAGTAAGCAACTTTCCCAGAAAAAGAAAATAAAAAAAGGCTAACATTGAACATATATTGCTGAAAGTGAGAAAAAAAAACATGAGAAACAAAAAGGTTTCGTGCCCAGATACGAAATAGTTACCTATTTGTTTCCATTTCAATCATTTTAATTTACTTTAACAAACACTGTTCTTCTTCTTCACCGTCTTATTTTTTCAGATCATATTAGCAACACCAAAAATAAGCAAGCTCAAACAAGTTCGGATAAATACTTATTTATACTAAACTTTCACTTGAACAACAAGGAAAGAAAGATGGGGCGAGAGAAACGGAAAGAACTTTAATAGAAAGATTTGAAAGAACCACCTTTGGCATGATGGCATCTGAACGCTGTGTAATGAATATCTATGCTGACAACGAATATAAATTTTTGCCTGTAACGCTAAACTGTAAATTTTTTATTTGTAAATGTGTAATAATGACATTATTTTTAATGAAAACTTTATTGAAAAATAATTATTTGTTTTTATATAATATAAATAATTCAAAATTTTATATCAAAATTTAAACTAATATCAATATTAAATTTTGAATTAATATTTTTTTCCTATTTCTCCTTATAAAATGAAAAAAAAATCAATTTAAAAACTTCATTAGTTTATATTAAAAACTCATGTTTCAAAGATAAAAATGAAAAAAAAAAGTTGTACGGTTGTAGACTTATAGTAATAGGGACACGGGCACACGAACGTAGGTGGGGCAAAGGAACAGTGTTGAAAACTGTAATGTACGAGAATACCCTTGGAACTTGGGTGGAATTTCGTGGATCGGGGATTGAGGTCAGTGAAGGAGCGACGTCGTTTAGGTATAAGTTTTTGAAAGGGAGAAGGCGCCATCTCTATAACGAAAAGGTTTAAAAAGTTGGGATTTAGAGGAGAGTTTTGTCGTGGGGGAAAAGGTATGGAAGGGAAGAGACATGGGCGGCGCACAATCACAAGTTTGTTTACGTTCCCGAGCTGATGCTACTGCCTGCGGACACTGTTTGCGCTTCGGCTTATCCAAACCAAACGTATCCAAGCATTTAAAGTTTCATGGACTCGACGCCACTGGACCACTTCATATCCCTTTTTAACTGCTATCACTTTTTAAATTGAGAAAATTTTTTCACACTTTTCAAAAATTTTCACACATATTTTACGGGCGTATTTATAACAAAAATCATATTGATAATTTTTATTTACGTGTCAAACATTCTTTTAAAATTTTATTGATTTAGTATATTTTGTAAAAAGATATGAATTATCATTTGCATCATTTTAGAATGGGTATTAGATCCGTAAAAATTTATAAAATGATATCTGAAAGATAATTAATTTCTGTTAGGATAATTTTTGTATAAAAACGCCAGAAGTAACAGTGTTTTGTTTGTTGGGAAAAAAATAAAATTCAATAAACTAATCATTTTCATTTCTTATTTTGAAAAATTAAGTCATATGATCATAAATTATTAATATAATGACTCAATTATCAAAATAAAATGAATTAAAAATATAATAATTAAAAATAATTTTTTTAAAAATCAATGATAAAAATAAAATATATTAAAATATTTGGTATAATTATAACTCATGTATTTTCAATTATTATATTAAAAAATCAATTATAAATTATGATAAAATATTTTTAGTTATTATCATCATCAACCGATTAATGGAGCATATATATGAGTTATAATTTAAATTAATCATTTATTATGTTATTATTCAATTTAATTAAGAAAAACTATGGTAAAATGTTTCTAAAATAAAAGTATAAATAAATACATGAAAATCTAAAGATTTTTCCTTTCTTTTGTGTTACACTCTAAACTTGTAATCAAAATCAATAAAAAAGAATAAGGTAAAGCTAAAAAATATCACATATATATTTAAAATATTATTTATAATATTAATTTTAAAAATATAAAATAAATATTAAATTCTAATTTTATTAAAAATAAATACACATTATTAACTGTTGTTAAATAAATAATAATTCATTTGATCCCTCGATTGTAATTAAAGTTTATTTTAATATTTTTTTATATTTTTAAACAAGTGATTTTAAAAGTCAATAATTTTTTAAAAAAATATATGAAAATTATATTCTTTTTAATTATAAAATATTTCTTATTATCATCATCATCATTTTAAAAAAGAAATACTAGTTATAAAATATTTATAAAATTATTTATATTTTAAATTAATTACCCTCAAAGTTTTCCTATACTAAACTATACATATAAGATTTTGAAAGGGCAAAAAATGCATTAAAAAGTGTTAAGTGGTAATTAGTAGACATAATTGTATTGTGTAATATAATGCAAAAATCAAAATTTATCGAATTATAAAATAATTTGCAAAAGAAGATTTAAAGATTTTAATGCAAAAGTATTTTAGCACACAAAAAATGAAATAAAGTTGAAGTTTTTACACAAAAATTATCTAAAAAAATTAATTACTTGTTAGACAATGTTTTAAAAAAATATGAATTTAGCACTTGTCTCAGAAAAGCGCGGATCATCATATGCTTATTACCACACGAGGTGTTACATCAGCGTAAGACGCGAATAATAATTTACGTCATTCTGTAAATAGTGCTATATCGATAAAATTTTCTAAAAATGTGTCCGACATGTAAATAAAAACTGTTAAGATGAATTTTTTTTATAAATACGTCTATTTCACAAATTCACGTGTTCAAATACGAAATTTATATGAAAAATAACATTATGTATGTTTTACTATTGAAATTATTTTATAAATTCAAAGACAAAGAAATATATAATATCATATACATACGTGTCCATATATTACTTTAGATAAAAAAATAATAATGAGAATAAGTAAAAAAAAATATGTGCTAATGAGATAAATTAAAAGAATAAAAATGATATTCTAAGAAAATAAATTTAAGAATACATAATTCTGTTGCAGAAGACGGCTATCGGATAGAGCAAAATCGTAGCTGATAATTTGAGAAAATAAAAATGAAGATAAAAGAGACACAAAATTTACGTGAAAAACCCCTGAATAATATAGGGTAAAAACCACGGGCAACGGTAAAAGAATTTCACTATGAGAAAATAGGAATTACAACTTCTCTCAATCAACCAAGGAGAAAACAATGATAATTCTCTCTTGATAAAAAGGAGAAAACAACTCTCAAGAAACTCTCTAAATTATCTCTAGTATTGGAAGAAAGCTAGAATGCTTTGGGATTGTTTTGAAGCTAAATGAGCTAGGGTATTTATAGTTGAAGCTTTAAGGACTAATTTGTAAATACCCTAAATTATAATGACTAATTGCATAGTTTTACCATCCAAAATTTTCAATAATTTGGTGGCCAAATTTGACCAATTTTGCTGCCCCATTAATGCCACCAAATTGCCACCCATAATGTTGACTAATGATGTAATTCGGTGTGCCAATTTTCAACAATCTTCCACTTGAAGATTTGATTGGAACAATCATATCTTCACACCATTCTTTCTACCTTGTACCTTTCATGTTGCTTACGTCTCTGACAGGCCACAAGAGGATTGACACCAGGTAAATTTATCAGCGTTGATTGTCTTCGTCATAAAATCTGCTATGTTGTCTTTGGTATGGATCTTCTGCATATCTACTGTCCCTTCTTCCACCTTTTCACGAATAAAATGGTACTGAACTCGTATGTGCTTTGTCCTTGAATGAAATGTTGGATTCCTTGCTAGATGCAAGGTACTTTGACTGTCACAAAACAAAGAGACATACTATTGATTGTGGCCAAGCTCCTCCAATAGCATCTTTAACCATATTGCTTCTTTACTGGCTTGTGTAGTTGCTACATATTCTGCACCCAACTTACAGCTCCACCAGTAACCTTAAACACATATCCTGTAGTATATTTGCTTTTATCCAAGTCCCCTGCATAGTCAGAATCTACATACCCATTGATTAGTAAGTTTGATCCTCTGTAATATAATGCAACATTTGAGGTCCCTTTGATGTATCTCAGGATCATATTTACTGTATTCTAATGCTCTTTTCCTGGTTTTTCCATGTACCGACTAACCACTCCCACTACTTGTGCAATGTCTAGTCTTGTGCATATCGTAGCGAACATTAAACTTCTCACTGCTGATGCATACGGTACTCGAGACATCTCCATCCTCTCTTATTCACTGCTAGGACTCATACTGGAGGATAATTTGAAGTTAATAGGAAGAGGGGTAGAAATTGGCTTACAATCTTGCATGCTGAATCGTGACAAGATTTTCTTCAAGTAATTCTTTTGTGAAAGCCAAATCTTCCTATTACTTCTGTCTCGGTGAATTTGCATCCCTATAATCTTGTTTGCTGATCCCAAGTCCTTCATTTCAAATTCCCTAGCCATTTGTGCCTTCAATTCTTCAATATGATCTTTGTTAGGTCCTGCAACCAACATGTCATCTACATACAACAGCAATATAACAAAATCGTTATCACCAGACCTCTTGAAATAAGCACAAGGGTCTGCGTTAAGTTTGTTGTATTCAAGGCACATAATGAAGGAATCAAATCTCTTATACCAACACCTTGGCGCCTGCTTTAGACCGTACAGAGATTTGTTCAACCTGCAAACCAAGTTCTTCTTTTCTTTTTCTTCAAAACCTTCAGGCTGGAGCATGTAAATCTCTTCTTCAAGATTTCCATGAAGAAAAGCTGTTTTAACATCTAGCTGCTCTAGATGAAAGTTCAATGTAGCACACATTGCCAAAACTACTCGAACTGTTGTTAGTCGAACCACAGGAGAAAATATTTCATTGAAATCAATACATTCTTTTTGAGCATATATTTTGACCACCAGTCTTGCACGATACCTCTCAACCTGATCGTCACCATTTCGCTTGATTTTGAAGACTCATTTGTTACCAATTGGCTTCCTTCCTTGTGGTAGTGGCATAAGGTCCCATGTATTATTTTTATGAAGGGCTTTAATTTCTTCTTGCATCGCCATCATCCACAGTGAAGCATCTAAGTTGTTTATTGCCTCCTGGTATGTTGATAGCTCACCGTCCTCTGTTAAAAGGCAATATGCAATATTACCTTCTATAACATAATCTGAGTGCCAATTGGGACGTCTTCTCATACGATCTGATTGACGAGTTGTTGGAGCTTCAGAACTCTCTGGTTCTTGTTCATCATGTGCTGGTTCTGCTTCAGAAGAATCTCCTTTTTCAAACTTTTTTTCCACATGTATCTGAGTAGTCTCTGACTTTTCAACGCTTTCATCGTCTTATTTTCTTTGTAGTTTATCTTCTACAAAGATAACATCTCTACTGATGATCACTTTGCGGGCAGTGAGATCCCACAAGCGATACCTCTTTACTCCATCATCATACCCCAAGAATTTGCATTTCCTGGATTTTGGATTTAACTTTGAAATTTCTTGGGAGTTGTACATCACGTGCACTATACTTCCAAATACATGGAGGTTTGAATAATCAGCTGGTTTACCAGTCCACATCTCCATTGGTGTCTTCAGCTCTATTGCAGTTGATGGAGCTCGATTCACCAAATAACAGGCGGTATTAACTGATTCTGCCCAGAATGATTTTTCTAGGCCTACATCCCTCAATATTGCTCTTGTTCTTTCTAACAAGGTTCTGTTCATCCACTCTGCCACTCTATTTTGTTGAGGAGTGTTCGCCACTGTGAATTGTCTTTTGATGCATTCTTTCCTACAAAAGTCATCAAATTCTTCGCTTGTGTATTCTCCTCCATTATCTGTTCTGAAACACTTGATCTTATTTCCAGAATCAAGTTCCACCCGCGCTTTGAAGTTTTTGAAAGTGGAAAACACATATGACTTCTTCTTAATAGGGTACACCCAACATCTCATGGAGTAGTCATCAATAAATGAGACAAAGTATTTTGCTCCACCTAGGGATGTAACTGGTGCTTGACATACGTCAGAGTGAACCAATTTTAGAACACTTTTGCCTCTAGAATTTTATGTGTTGAATTTCAATCGGTGTTGCTTACTTGTTATGCAATGCTCACACAAAGGAAGTGATACCTTTGTTAAGACTGGACGTAGCTTTTGCTCCACAAGGACTTTCATTCCTTGTTCTGACATGTGTCCAAGTTTCTGATGTTATAACATTGCCGAATCTGAACTACATGAGGCAACAGAGGCTTATGCTTCTACCAAAGTCTCTCCCTTCAGCATGCACAAGTTTGCAGCTATCTTTTCACCTTTCAGCACTACAAGCACTCCACGGAACACCTTCATGATTCCTTTCTGTGTTTCAATCTTGCTTGCATTATTATCCAACAATCCGTAGGATAATAAATTTTTCTTCAGACCTTTCACGTGCCGCACATCTCGAACAACTTTAATTGTTCCATCATACATCTTCAATTTGATGGTTCCCACGCCAACGATCTCTAAGGCATAGTCATTGCAACTATACACAGATCCTCCTGAGACAGGTTCATAATGATGGAACCATTCTCTTCTTGAGGTCATGTGATATGTTGCTCCCGAATCAATGAGCCATATATCTGCAAATCGTTTTCTTCCTTCCACGGTGGTTAACGCTTCACAGCATAGAGCATCTCCATCATTTGAAGTGTTTACGGTATTGCCTTGTGGATTGGAGTTTTTATTTAGACTCCAACAATCCTTCTTCAAGTGACCCTTCTTTCCACAGTTGTAACACTTTAAATTCTTCTTGCTTCTCGACTTCGATCTACCATGTTTGTGACTGCTGCTTTGGTCACGTTCTGTTGATCTCCCTCTCATCGTTGTCAACGCTTCTGCTTGTTGCAGATTTACTTGTCTGTCTTCCTTGTTCTTGTGCCGATTTTCTTCTTGTAGAACAGCAGCTGTAACGTCATCAAAGACTAGACTGGTGACATTACTGTTTGTCAAGTTGATGATGAGTTGATCATACGAATCCGGTAGACTTTGAAGTATAAGTTTAGCACGTTCTTGTTCTCCTATTTTACAGCTTAAGGATGTAAGCTGAGAAAATAAAGTGTTCAGTGTATTTAAGTGCTCCGTCACTGAAGTAGATTCTGGCATACAGAGAGTATACAATTTTCTCTTAAGGAAAATTTTATTGTGCAGCGATGTGGCCTCGTACAGTTTGGTGAGATGATCACATATCTCCTTAGTTGTATTCTTCTCCTCGATACTTGACAATACTTCATATGCTAATGCTAGATGAAAGTTTGTCATAGCATTTCCGTCCATTTCGATCCATTTGTTGTCGTCTGTGAAATCTACTGGCCTTTCGCTGATAGCTGCTAAACAACAGTCTTTCCTCAGGATGGCCTTCATCTTCAATTTCCACAATGAGAAATTTCTCCCATTGAACTTTTCAATATCAAATTTCGTTGCCATTGCTTCGTTTACGGATAGCTCCCATTATATCACTATCGTGAATAGTTCTCTGGAACCTTCAAAGAATGGGTAATAACTTCTTACTTTCTTATGTTGGAGGATCCACCTTTTAGTGGCAACCACAAAGACAATAAGCATATATTACACACTCTAATCTGGCTCGGATACCAATTGTTACGGAAGACGGCTATCGGATAGAGCAAAATCGTAACTGATAATTTGAGAAAATAAAAATGAAGATTAAAGAGACACAAAATTTACGTGAAAAACCCCTGAATAATATAGGGTAAAAACCACGGGCAACGGTAGAAGAATTTAACTATGAGAAAATAGGAATTACAACTTCTCTCAATTGACCAAGGAGAAAACAATGATAATTCTCTCTTGATAAAAAGGAGAAAACAATTCTCAAGAAACTCTCTAAATTCTCTCTAGTATTGGAAGAAAGCTAGAATGCTTTGGGATTGTTTTGAAGCTAAATGAGTTAGGGTATTTATAGTTAAAGCTTTAAGGACTAATTTGTAAATACCCTAAATTATAATGACTAATTGCATATTTTTACCATCCAAAATTTTCAGCAATTTGTTGGCCAAATTTGACCAATTTTACTGCCCCATTAATGCCACCAAATTGCCACTCATAATGTTAACTAATGATGTAATTTGGTATGCCAATTTTTAACAAATTCAACCCAATAAAATTACATTACTTTTATGATAAAAATATATATGTTTTATTTTGAAACTGTTATAGCTGAAAATAAAAAATAAATTAATATATGAAAATGGGAAATATATATTAATTCACATGTAATAAATAAATATAAGGAATATTACTTCATAGATAGTATTACCCTTTCTTCCAAGCTAAACCTCTGTCATTGGAACCTACTAAATATTTTATTATTGGTGAGTTTTGTCGTTTAAGTGGAACAACTCATTTTTTAATTAACTAGATTATATGCACATGTATTGTATTAATATTGATAAGTTGTATTTGAGGGGAAAAAATTACAAACCATAAAAGACAAACGATCTTCTCAATTAACAAGGATGAAAACAACGATGATACAGTCACATATTCCGACTAATTTTTTTTTTTTTGAAAAAAATTCTAACTACGATGTTTGAATTCATATTGACCTCTAGTAAGTGTATATATATATATATATATATATATATATATATTCAAGACGGCCCAAATTTACTCTCCAATAGTTCTATATAAAACAAATATTTGTGCTGTTTTGTTGTGGGCAAGCTTTAGGAAATTATTGTCTCATGCTTGATACTTTATTTGGGAAGAAATCGAATAAGCATGCTGGGTTCATCAATTTCGAAAACAACAATTGCATCCCTTTGTTTCAAGAAGAAAATCAAATAAATTACAAACACAATATTCAAAATAGCAAAACTAAATAAATAACCATTTTAAATTAATAAAATAAATTGAATATTATTTTGAAAAATAAGAAAAAGTAGAGCTTAATTGCTGCAACAGTAATCGTAGAAGGAATAAGACATTTTACCAACTAAAAGAAGAAAAATACGTCAGCCCAAACCGGGAAACATTTCCTCAGGATTACATAATCTCCATGGCCAAGCTTCAAACTTGGGCATAAATCACCAATCCCATCACCGTGATGGATTCCCCCCACCCCCAAAAAAAACAATTTGTAAACAAATATAAACGATTAAAAAGTTTTTTTTTGGAAAAAAAAATAATTATGTCATTTTATAATTTAGATTTAAAATTCATTATTATTTCATATCATTTTCAGAAATTAAAACCTACATAATTATAATAATTTATTTCCAAAGGCAATCAAATAAATAACAAAAAGAAGATAAAATAGGGAAAGAAGTTCTCAACAAAATATTAAAAACAAATAGAATGTTATTTTAATAAACAAAAGAATACACTCCCACTAAATTGTTTGACGCCCTCTCCTATCAAAACTACAGATTAGTTATGCTAAGCTAAAAGACATAAAACTCTTAAGCCATTTTGATTTCAACTAATATTTTAACTTTTTAATGTAAAACATGAAGGGCCTGGGGAAAGGCCTCATGGCCAGTGGTGGCTGACAACGGCATCGTTCCTAGTTTGAAATCAACTGAATTAAGATGACCAAAACTGGTACTAATGTTGTTTCCGTCGATGGAAATCCGGGTAATAAGGTGGAGCAACACACGTTCAAAGTCCTCCCCGTTGCTCCACTCGCATATATGTGCCTTTACTAAATTCCTGTTTTTGCTAATCAAGTCCCAAATTGGGAAGCCCTTCCTTGGCATTACATAGTCCCCATCGCCAAGCTTCAAACTTGGGCAGAAATCACCCAGCCCATCTCCAAGGTAGATTATCGTTTTCTTCTGCTCCTCCATAGATAAAGAAACTTGTATCTTTTCAATCACAATACCCTATAGAGGGGAATTAAACATAAGCATGTAATATATGGCGTGATTGATATTTACTATGATTTTTTTTAAGTTTAATATACCTTGCACATATTTGGAGGGCAGCTGGGATGAACACATCCGTGAGAAGATTTGGTGAAATCGTGGTGAGGAAAGATTCTTAGCCTGCCTTGTTCATCAACAAAACTAGGGTTCGTATGGATCTCCGAAAAACATTCCCTCAGGCCATGATGCTCCAATATTGTGTCGATGAAGAACGTGTTTGCATCGCTCACAATCTTCAACTCACATCTGAAAAGTAATGTCGTTCCGTACCATCACAATTTTTAGTGATTTTTTTCATTATTGAGGAAACCGAACATGCAGAAAAAAGTTTTAGACATAAACGAAGAGAGAATAGTGTGTTCCTACCCTAAAGCTTGAGCTGACTTAATGGCTTCGATGATTCGAGGGTGTATCGGAGTTCTTTTCAAAACAGCTACAATATCCTCAATTCTTGTTCCTTGCGAATGAACTTCTTTCATCGTCGATCCTGTAAATGATTAACAACAAATCCTATTTTTCGATTGGAAATAAACATTTCGAAACCAAGAACATGCATGCAACGTGAAAGACAAGAAACCAAAGACTAACCATGAGGGAGTTCCATGGCATGGTAGGAAGGAGTTGATTGAACAACTCAGTGGCACCCAACTCATCCACAACCCAGTTATCGCTATCGCGATCGATAATCGTTTTATCGAAATCGAAAATCACTACTATGCCTGCACCCGCCATTTGTGGTCGGTGATATTACGTAAACCAATAAAACCCAGATGGGTAAATTACAAAGAGAGGTATGCTTTGAAATTCTGTGATATCAATACAAGGAATGATATGATATTTATAGATGGTTCAAGGGTCGTAATTTGGCGGTCTGCTTAGTCAAATACCATGTCGGTGTAGCTGATGCGAGGAAAGTTCTTCCGTGGGGTGGAATATAATAACGCCACGGGAAACAAGAGTCGTTCGATGATGTTGACTATTTTATGATTAGGCAACCCCTTTCATGGAAAAAAGAAGGGGGCAGGAATATGGGGAATATGCCAAGTCTAATTCATTGAAAATCGGGAATCGCTGTATAATTCGGTTCAATTTACATCGGTTGAACCGCTATTAGTGGACCGGTCAGAACCGCTGAACCGTTTGAACTAGACCGAATGAAAACCAGAAAAAACCGAAAAAAAACCCCCGAAAAAACGTCAATTTTGTTTTTTTTTTTAAATTAAACCAAACGACGTTGTTTGTTAAACGAGCCAAGTCGAACTTAAGTATTGTTGAGCTCGACTCGAACTTGAAAACTTTAAAAGTAAGATCAACTCGACTCAAACTCACAAGCTAAAAATTATCAAGTTCAACTCAAACTCGAAATATAATATTGAAACTTGAACTTGAAAAGGCTTAAACTCAAAAAAAAAATTAGAAGCTCGATTGAAGCCTAAAATTCGAGCTTGATTGGAGTGAAATAATAGTTCACTAAATACTCACCAAAAGGCTCCATGATTTTGAATGCCAAATTACCTCTATTATTTATAGAAGTTAGTTGGGATGCTCTTCTATGTTTCTTAGTCATGTGAGATTGTTTTGTTCTCATATTTTTTACTCTTTAGACTTTTGGTATACTCTTCTATGTTTCTTAGCCATGTGTGATTGTTTTTAAAAAAAAAATTAAACCGAACAATATCATTTTGTTATGATTTTTTCAGCCCCAAATTTATTTTTTAATTATATTTATATAATTATATTTATTATTTAATATGTTTTACCTTAAATATTATGTTGTAATTAATTTGAATCATTTTGTTTAACTTGATTTTATAGTTTTTAACTTATATATGTTATGACTTATTTTGAATATGACTTGTGATATAAAAAATTATTTTTTATTAAATATTTTTGATATTTTTATTTAATTTTTTAAATAATTATGACATCATCTGGTTCTTTCGACCGGTTCGACCGATTAAATCAATGAACCGATAATATAACCGGTTCGCTAACCGAACCGGTTCTGAAAATCATGCTAATTCCTTTTAAAACAGAAAAAGGGTGGAATGTGTGGAAAACATGTCCCGTAATAAGATTTTTTCTCTTTTATGAAATTTAATAAGAAAATAAATATCCTTAATTTGTTCGACTTCTCTAACTTACTTTATACAGAGTCAATTTAAATTAATACCTTAATTTTTTCATATAATAAGTTTATTTTTTTTTTTATTTTACTTCTATCAAATTGACCTACGCGGTAATACGAATAAAGGAGGTGCATTTATATGACTTTGAAATCTGTAAAAAGTTGTATATATCCGAGGCAGTCCAGTCGTCGATGATGGGCCTCTCTATATATAAACATTGGGTACAGATTACAAAGGTCTTTAAAATATTATATAAATATTTTTAAAAACATTGAGCTTTTACAAAATTGAAAATAAATTTTAAATTTGATTAGATAGTTGCTCTCCCATTTTTTTAATTTTCTTTAGAGTTTATATTTTTTTATAGATTAGGTTAATTTTTTTATTTGATTTTATTTAATCGACAACGACATTGGTTTGTATATTGATTGTTAACCGTCGGTTCTCTTTTTTATTTCTTTTTTTAATTTTTTATAAAAATAATTTTATTTTTATGACACATTTATCTTTATTTTTGTGACACGTTTTTCTCTGTCTTTGTGGTATATTTATTTATGCCTTTATGACACATTTTTCGTCTTCTTTTTCAATCGTTTAATTGTTCTTTTATTTTATGTTTTTCTCAAGGTTGAATTTGACGACGTCACGACTGATCAAGATAACATTTATTTGCAACCCAATTGATATTACCTGCTATGGACCCTTTGATTGAATTTGGATACTTGATTTTGCAGTCGTGGATTGTTTCTCATGATGTTTGACTATTGTTTGCGGTTCTCAATAATCTTTTAATAGTGTAATCATCTTTTATGATTCATTTGTCGATGCATTCATATTTATTTGTATATATTTTTTGTCTGAGTTTTTTGTTGGAATTTTAATATTTTCCATGTATTTCCTTAAATAATCTAAAGTGGTTAATTTTAATATTATAAGAAAATGTTCAATTTATACATTAGTTTAAGATGATAGTTATAAACTCTTGTTTACTCTCTATTAAAAATATCTTTTAAATATTTTTAAACAATAAAAAACACTTTAATTTTATTTTAATTAATCAAATTGTACACCGAACCTCAACACCAAAAATACTATACTAATACGGTCCAGATTAGGAGCAAAGGAACAATTTCTTTATTTACAATTACTTCAGCCACGCTTCCATTATTTGAAAATAAGGGACATAAGACCTAAAAATCACTTCAACAGACCATCACACTTCTACTGAGGAACAGGCATGGGTTTAGGCAAGGAATGGTTGGATGCCGACATGGTTTGCAGTTTGCAGTTTGCAGTTTGCAGTCAACAGAGAACAATTGAGCATCAACAGAAACCACGCTAATTAGTTGCAAAAGAACTTGCTCTAAGTCTTCACCATCACTCCATCCGTGAATCTCAGCCTCGATGAGCATAGGATTTCTGCAAATTAAAACCCAAACTGGAAAATTCTTCCTTGGCATCATATGGTCACTCTTTCCGAGCCTTAGGGTCGGACAATAATCACCAACACCATCTCCAAGGTATATGATCTTTTTCCTTCCCTCTAAAGAAGCTTGAATCCTTTCTATTATCATCCCCTGTTGCAAAACAGAGCAGAACCCAATGATTAAAATTGTCAAACTTTATATTATATTATATAAAATGAAAACTCCAAGCTATTTGGAGTTGGATATGATACCTTGCACATATTTGGGGCGCAGAGGTTGAGGTTACAGCCATGGGAACACTTGATGAAATCATGGTAAGGGAAGATCCTAAGCCTGCCTTCTTCATTGACAAAGCCTGGGTTTGAATTGATCTCAGAGAAACATTCCTTCAGCCCTAGATGCTCCAGGATTGTCTCGATGAAGAACATGTTTGCATCACTTACGATCCTCAGTTCGCACCTGGGTAAAGAAAATCCCAAACCAAATCGATTACTTTACAGTCCAAGATGTTTCATTTTTACAGATGAAACAGTAAGAAGTAAGAAGAGAATCATACCCTAAAGCATGAGCTGATTTAATAGCTGCTACAGTCATAGGATGGATGGGAGTCCGTTTCAGAACATCAACAATGTCATCAATAGTTTTCCCCTGCGCGTGAATCTCCCCCATCATCGTGTCCTGTTAGTTTACGCCACCAAAAACGTAAATGTCTAAATCAATATGTTTTGTTCAAATGGAAAATACAAGAACAAGAAAACAAAGGGAGATGTTGTTGAGGTTTACCATGAGAGAATTCCAAGGCATGGTAGGAAGAGGCTGGTTAAACAAATCGGCAAAACCCAACTCATCAACAACCCAATTATCACTATCACAATCAATTATGTGATTTTTAAATGTAAAGAGTTAAATTCATCGAATTATTTTAAAATAAAATAATTTGATATAATTTATAAAATTAAAAAATTAAAATTCTTGTTATAAAACTTACATTAAACATTCCTTTTAATTTTAACAATAAATATTTTATTTATAATAATATTTTAGAATAACTTATTTATTGCCGAAACACATAATTAAGTAATCGTGGGCTTCAAGTTTAGCATGCCAATAACTTATGGATTGGGCTTGACTACGGAACTTGAGTTTGGGTGACAAGGAATTTGGGTGTGGGTTATTTTTTTTTAAATATGACTAATAAATATTGTACTATATGTTATATTTATAACAACCAGATCGGGGCAGGTCAAAATAATGTTACTTGAGGCCTGATTCGAATTAAAAATGGGTTTATTTTTGGAATTGTAATTGAAATATCATTCTTAAACTCAATAATTACCTGTCAGACACTCTCTCCACAAATATTACTGATCTAATATCCTTTTTGACACAATGGCAATATAGTATAGATCACCATCCGCGCCTTCGCGGTGTTCTGACACATATGGAAGGCACATATCTTTCCTTTAATTTCACAACCGTCCGTCTCCCACATTTATTACCATCCGTCTCCCCATTCTCTCTTCCTATAAATATCAAACCCAGCACAACTCTCAAACCACACTCAAATCTCAATTTCTCTATTTCTTCCTATTATCAATCTTTACATTAAGAAGGTAACATATTTTCTTTTATATTATAATTATTTAATAATTTATTATTTTGTTTTCAACTTTCCAAGTTCATCAATATTTAAGACCAAAGGTATGATTTCTATATTCTGAAGTGGTTTGAATTAATCATGTATGCTTGTGTCATGTGCTTATTATTGCGTTCTATAATTGTTTCAGCTGTGTGATTTGTATGAAAATGATTCAATCTTTGACAAATTTGAGCGTTGCCTAAGTGGTGATGGATTGCGAGTGGCAACAGGTTCCTACAGGTTCGTGTTTGAACAAATGTTTGTACCCTAACCCGTTGTTGTTTTTATCTTCTTCCATGTATCGTAATATATTTCTCATGTTACCTCAGCAATTTTTTCCGTGTATTTGGTTGTGCCCCGGGAAGCACTGAGGCAACAACTCTGGAAGCCAGCAAAAATCCAATGAGGTAAAATTTTCACTAACGAAGTGTAGAAGATTAAAAAAAAACTACTTCGAATCTTGATTTCTGTAAAGATGTTGGTAGTTATAAACATGCATGTGTTCTGACAGAAGACAAGTTCAGACTCCCTCAAGGCCTTCCAGATCCCTAAGTAGTATAACACGTGTTGTCAGACGAGGTAGTGAGTCCATTTTTATTTGTTTCATTTTATTACCTCCGAACTATCCTGCCGTATCACCGGGGGTGCAGGTGGCTGAGGAAAGTGAACTGAATTGCTTTCATTTATACTCAAATGCTTTTATTTTGACAAATGTCATAACAGGAGCAGAAAACCCCGGAGTTGATGCGAACGGAAATTCTTTTGATTTCACAACAAAGTTGCTGCACCTAGCATGGCACCCTACTGAAAACTCAATTGCTTGTGCTGCGGCAAACAGCTTGTACATGTACTATGCGTAAAAGATGGTCCAAGAAGAAATGTATTTGCTTGGTTAACTTCTTTGAGTTGCTGATGATAAAAGCTTCTTTCCCTTTCCCATGCCAAGTGCCGACCAGTGAGTTACAGCTTACATTAATTCTCACATTTCCAGTGCCCCTAAAATCCTTGATCACATCCTATAGTATAGGGTCAAGAAATGGCTGTCATAGATCCATGAGGAAGCAACCCGTCTTCGTTCCCGGGTAGGCAGCTTGATTATCTTTAACTCTTCCAACACCGCCACGTAAAACTATAAAACTTTGTCTGTTCCCTTATTTTTTTTTATTATTTACCCCCTCCCCAATGAATATGGAGTAACGTTTCTAGATTTGTGTAGGGCTGAAGTTAGCAGGAAAATTGTGATTGTATCTCTCCTACAACAAAACTAAAGGATGTTTGGAACTTCAACATGTAGTTTCCTATTTTAGATATCACGTGCGCTATTTTTTGGTCTCTTCTCAATTGATTTTTTTTTTACTGCAAATACCGAGCTTAAAAAGAAAAGGATGGCTTGTATTTGAAACTAGCTAGTTTTATGTTTATGTTTCTGCTATTTGTTTCCCTCTAATCATGTATTTGTTAAAGGAGTTGCTTGGAATGTAGTGTGATCTTCTTCATCCACATTCAAAACAATAAATTTTAAAGTCTGTTTCAATGGATTGACTTGATTAATCATACCCAGTGTTTTAAGGCATCGATTCTTCATAACATCATTTTAAAATGGATTACACTGGATTCTTATCATTTGGTGTGAAAAATGTAATTTTACCATTTTAGAGGGTTAAATTTTACACTGGATTCTTATCATTTTGTGTGAAATATATAACTTTACCATTTTAAAATGGGTAAACTCAATTTTAACCATTTTAAAGAATGGCAGTTTGCGAGCAACATGTTATATTAATGATTAAATGTAAGAATTAAAGTTATTGGTCGAGAATTCATGGTCTTAATGGTCCATTAAGAGTTCTTATAAAGACAAAAAGGATGAGTGGGTAAGCCGATTTAGAAAAAAAAAATAGAAATATAAAGAAAGTAAGGAACAAGGTTGTAAACGAGCTTTGTCGAATTCGAGTATTGTTGAGTTAAACTCAAATCGAAAATTTTAAAATGGAGCTCGACTAGGCTTGAAAACTTGCAAGCATAAAATTTTCAAGCTCGACTTGAACTCGAAACCATAAACTAAAGTTCAAAAAAGCTAAAAAAGCTTGAAAAAAAAATCTTAACTTAACTCGGTTAAAGCTCAAACTCAAACTCGAATTTGAATATTAAATATATTTATATTGTATTTTTTTAAAAATCAACACATAAATATTAATATTATTCATAATTTAATTTTTTTTAAAAAATAAAATTTTAATATATTATTTTTTCGAGTAGCTCGTGAGTTTTTTGAGTCGAGTAAGAAGTAACTCGCTTCTACTCGTTAAGAACTCGAGTCAAGTTTGAGCTCGATTCAAATCTATTTGAATTAAATATTTATCAAATTTTGATCGAATCGATTTCGAGTAGCACGCGATATGGCTTCTATCATTTACTGCGTAATAAGGAACGTAGAATCCGTACGAAACATTATTGAGCTATTCCAGGCGTGTTGCATTCAAGCAACACATATTTAGACAGGACCCAGGCCCTTCCTTTGTGGGCTTCTTTGGCCGCACCCATCATCTCCCTCCTTTCTCGTGCACGTCTCCATTACTCGCCTTCAATCATAGCCGTTAAAAACAATTAATTAAATTCATATCTTTTGAATATTTATACCGTTCAAAATGTTAATAAACACTGTAATTTTAGTATGGTTTTGTATGATATCTAAAATGATCTATAACTTGTTAAAGCCTCAAAACCTTTTTTTTTTGTATATTTAAATATAATTTATAATTTTAATACAATACTAATAATTGTATTAATCAAATTAAAACCTAATCAATCAACAAATTAACATTTATCCACATTCTCTATTTTCTTAGTTTAGAAATACAACAATTTGAATGATGTAAATGTATTCCAAATTTTATAAAATTACTATAGCACTATAAGACTTTCCTCAGCCTCTAATGTTTTTGATACAATATTAAAAAAATATAATTCGTTAAATTCTTAAAACAAAATTTATTTTATATTTTAGTTCGATTGAATTCATCATTTTTAAGCATTCTAACAATAATATTAATCGAATTAATATTCGATCAATAAATTAAAATTAAGTTAAAACTATATAAATCAATTGTTCTTTAAAAGAAAAAAATCATCGACGAGAACTAAACAACCAAATGGCCAAATTAATTACTAGGTTTTCTTTCCAAAGATGGTGTAAGAACCATTAATCACATAGACGGTGTTGTCTACCATTAATCACATAGACGGTGTTGTCTACCAACTCATAAAATATTAAGGTAAACTACATTAAATGCCGTTAAACTTTTCCTGTTATCTTGTTTATACCACTAAATTTTTAATTTTGTTAATTATAACATTGAACTTTAGTTTTACATTCAATTATGATACTCCACCGTTAAGTCAATAATGGGACGATGACATGCCTAACAATTACTCACATGGCCTGTCACACTAAAACGATGCCATATTGGCGACGATTATTGATGTCCAGAACAACGTTGTTTCAGACATTAAACTTTAGGGGTGAATCGATTTTGCTATTGAACGTTTAAACAATTTATTTTTTTGGCACTGTAATTTTTTATAGCCGCTGATAGCCAATAACCATCTGTCACTGGTCTTCTTTCGCATCAAGATCGGTACAAAAACGTTCATATTTAATTTTTCTTCTTTCTCCTAGGATTGGTTTTCCATGAAACCAACTTAAAATCAATGAAAATATATTTAAAGTTTGATGTATTAATACACCGATCTCTTTCAATTATCATCTTATGAGACTATTTTTGAGGCATGCCATTTGTCTTCTTAAAAAAATGCTTTTCACCATTTGGATTTTTTAATGAACACCTTAAATATCGCAAATCTAAGAAAGCCTTTAAACATTTAAAAATGATAGATTTGTTTGTTTAATTTCATCGATTTTGAGTGAATTTCGTGTAAAAATAATCCTATGATAATAAAGAGAAGGAAATGTGAATGTGTTGGTATTGATTTTGTCACGAAAGAAGATCGGTGATGAGTTGTGATTGACTATCAATGACTGCTACAAAGTACAATGCAAAAAAGTGAAGTGTTTAGTGTCAAAATCGAGACACTCCTAAATATTTTTTTTTTTGCATCAAATAGCCATACTAGAATGATTTTGTTTTGACATGTCATTTCACGTCATAAGCGTTAGTCATGTCATCATTCTATTACTGGTTTAACAAATGAACAACATAGTTAAATGTAAAATTAAAGTTCTGTGATTGCTAAAATTTGAAACTTCAATGATATAAACTAGTTAATGAACAAAGTTCATCAATATTTGATATAGTTTACTCAAATATTAAATTATTTATAAACAAAACAAAATAAAAAAGTCAATGGATACAGATATAAAACAAGAACATTAACAACATTTGATCTAGACATAAGAATATATAAAGATACTGTTCAAAATACTTTTTAATCAAAGCTTTGGGATTAGTTTTTAACTAATCACTACATTAGTGGGAAAGATTGTTGAGCCAACCCTAAAACTCAACTTGAAAGTAAAGCGGTGAGCGTCACGCGGAAGGCACATTTTAATAAAACTCTGCATTCTGTTCAAGGATCTGTGTTCAAAAGCCGGCCCCAGTCTGAGAAATTAGGTCGGTGTTTGTCTTCTTCTCTCTTTTATCATGAATTTATTGTTCTGCACTTTTGATGGATCGGAAGCAGAGTATGTCTTGCCTTTTGTTGAAGGCTTCAAATGTTTGATTGATTGTTTCCCACCTTGTATGAATCCCAAGATATTGGTCTGAAACAAATGAAAAAAATATTAGCCTTCCTTTTTATTGTCTTCCTCAGTTTCACAGTTTCATCACCTTGGACTTTTCGTCACTTTGCAAACTTCAAAGGTTAACAGCTTTTCAGTTCCTTTTCTTCCTTTGCCGCCTTTCCCATTTCATAAACAAAAATACAAGAACTTATCACCAGATTTAGTCAGAAAGTGATCAAAGTTTCATTTTTTAGTCGTCTCGAATCTGAAACAGTGATATTTGTTAGTACTTTTTTTTTTTGAGTTAATTGAAAACTGAAATGGAAGAGCTGACGGGTTTTCGACAAATGAAAGCACTGGTTTTTCCAGAGCAGGAGCAGCTGAAATGTCCACGCTGTGATTCAACCAACACTAAATTCTGTTACTACAACAACTACAACTTGTCTCAGCCCCGCCATTTCTGCAAGAACTGCCGTCGTAACTGGACCAAAGGCGGCTCCCTTCGTAACATCTCCGTCGGTGGCGGTACCCGCTAGAACACCAGACGCTCCTCCTCTTCCTCCTCAAACAATAGCAATCAACCCAAACGCCAGACCAACCGACACCAAAAACTCCGTCACCCCTCTCCGCCGTCGGTTCTCAAACAGGTTCTTCAGAGCTCGGCAGTTCAGAATTCGGTTCCCGGTGCCGAGCAGACCCGGATGTATGCAATATGAAGGATAGCGGTGGGAGCTTTAGCTCTCTGCTGGCATCGAGTGGGCAGTTTCGGAACCTCCTAAACGGGTTGAGTCCAAATGGGTCAGGTTCGAAAACAGCAGGCATGGATAATTTTGGAGTGAAGTTGGCTTCGGGTCGTGGAGTGGATCCGGATTCGCATTGAGATCCGATATCGGAAGATATCAATAATAGCAACAAAGAGGCTGAAGAGAGATAACTAGGGAGACATATAAATGAACTGAACGTTCAGCGAACCGTTCATGAATCGTGCGGTGGGAAGTTCGTTTATGTGTGTTTATTTATTAAATGAACGAACATGAACATAAGTCTCGTTCGTTTATTTACGTTCGTGAATGTTCGGTTATGTTCGTTTATGTTCGTTCGGTTATGTTCCTTTATGTTTATTCATTTATGTTTAACTTAATCTTCTTAAATTAA